ATGTCGATGCCTCTGTCCTTATCTCTCTCTCCCTCTCTCTTGTAATGGGTGTCGGTACCCGTCTCTCTCTCTCTTTCTCTCTTTCTCTAAAACTGCTATATTTCTTTATTCGCTTGGATGTGAATATCTCTCTGCACACACATATTTATATATATGCATATATATATATATATATATATATGCATATATATATATATATATGTACTGTATATATATATACACCCAGCAGTCGGAAGAAATAGGTAGAACCATGAAGTGCGAAGGCGCTGGAAGTATATTGGACTTCCGCTCGCTTGCTGAAGCGTGGGGCAACTCCATCATTGAAGTAGGAAGGCGCCTAAAGTAGATTGGCATCCGAACATCGAACCTTACCTACTATCAACAGCTAATGACTACACACGCACACACGCACATATAGACATATGCACATATGTAAACATTTTTCCAAAAAGCAGTGATTGTACTCCAGGGTTTTTACATTGTTCTGAAGCGCTGGGCCTGGCTGGCGGTCTGGAGGATGTGTTGCCGCTGTCGCCGCCCTGTCGCCGCCTCATCGCCGCCCGTCGTGTGAGCCTGGCTGGCGGTCTGGCGGCCACGTTGCCGCCGTCGCCGCCTCGTCGCCGCATCTATAGCACAACACAGGTTACAAAACATTGTTTGCGCGACGTAGATCGCACAACATGGTTTCTCCTTTCTGACACGAAAGTCGGTTCTACCCCTCTACCCCCCTCGGGTGAAAGACCCCATGGGAACCGAAGCACAACACATCGGATCCTGACCCAATGTCCACCCTACCTGTGAATTCATACCATCCCAGCCCAATCGGTATCCCCCCCCCGCTACCCTCTGCAAAAAATACTATGCGCGCACACTCGTTCATCACAAATCATAAGTTGTCAAGAACCCCTTGCAAACATAAAACGAAAAGCGAATGCGCAGGTCGTCGCGCGCGCATGCCGAAACTTGTCAAAAACCTTAGGTTTCGGACGGATTTCGAAATTCAGCTCCAAGAGCACATACAAGAACACAGGGTTTCGCAACACTGATTTTCTATTAAAAAAAACTTGCACGCGCGCTCTCGCGAAATCTTGAGAACACCGTACGTTTTTCAAAACACGGGGCAAAGTGCACGCGCGCGCGAGTCGTCGCACCCGCATGCCGAAATCCTTACAAAAAACAATCGGTTTCGAAACGATTTCAAAATCGAGTGTCCAAAAACATACAAACACATAGTTTCGCAACACGGGTTTTCAACAAAAGCATACGCGCGCGCTCTTGCGCCGTCGTCGTCGTCGTTGTCGCCGTCCTCCCTCCTCCCTCGCCGTTATCGTCGTCGTCGCCGTTGTCGTCCTCTGTCTGTCCTCGTCGTCGTCGTCGTCGTCGTCCTCTTTGGCGTCGTCGTCGTTTCCGTCGCCGTTGTCGCCGTGGTCGTCCTTCCTCCTCCCTCGTCGTCGTCGTCGTCGTCGTCCGTCGTCGGCGTCTCGTCGTCGTCCCTCCTCTTTCGTCGCCGTCGTCGTCGTCGGCGTCGTCGTCGTCTTCCCTCCTCCCTCCTCCCTCCTCCCTCATCGTTGTCGTTGTTGTCGCCGTCGTCGTCCTCCCTCCTCCCTCGTCGTCGTCGTCGTCTTCGTTGGCGGCGTCGTCGTCGTCGTCTCCGTCGTCGTCGTCGTCGGCGTCGTCGTCGCCGTCCTCGTGGTCAGCGTCGTCGTCGCCGTCGTCGTCGGCGTCGTCATCGTCGTCGTCGTCTTCGTCGTCGCCGTCGTCGGCGTCGTCGTCGGCGTCGTCGTCGTCCTCGTTGTCGGCGTCGTCGTCGCCGTCGTCGTCGGCGTCGTCATCGTCGTCGTCGTCGGCGTCGGCGTCGTCGTCGTCGTCGTCGGCGTCGCCGTCGTCGGAGACGTCGTCGGTGTCGTCGGAGTCGTCGTCGGAGTCGTCGTCGTCGTTGTCGCTGCCGTCGTCGGCGTCGCTGTCGTTGCCACGTGCCATATGGTACCCACCGTCACGGTCTTAAGAAGTCTTGCGGCCAAGTTGCGGGTGGGAGGGTGGGATGTTTGCACGAGCAGTGGAGAGGACAGCTTCAAGATAGTTAAAGTGAATTGCACCGCATAGATTGCAGGCTGTGGATTCTCCTTTCTAAGAAAAGAATAAACTCTACCTCCCCCCCCCGGCGTTATCGGCCCCCCTTTCGGGTATGTAAATCATCTATGATTCTGATCACATGTCCATCCTAAATATGAACTTGCACTATCCCTTAGGGGCCGGGTTCCCTCTCTCTGAGGTCCCCTTGTAAAAAAAACACTATGCGGTGACATTTTTGTTCTAACATAGCACTTTTCCACGAATCCCTTGCAACAAATGGGACGAAGTGCGCACGCGCGCGTCGTCGCGCATGCCGAAATCCTTCAAAAACCTTCGGTGCCGGAAGGATGTCGCAACCGAGTTCCCCAACAAACAAACAAAAAACACAGGGTTTCGCAACACTGATGTGCTAAAAAAGCTTACGCGCGAGCTCTTGCGAAATCTTAAGAAAACCATGGTTTTTTTTTTCAAGATTTTCACAAAATGCTACCAAACGGGCTTCGCGCGCGCGCATGTCGAAATCTGTCGAACGCCCTTGCGCGTGTGCCGTCGCGAGGATCCTCTGCAAAAAACTGGGACGAAGTGCAGACGCGCGCGTCGTCGCGCGCGTATGCCGAAATCCTTCAAAACCCATCGGTTTCGGAAGGATTTCAAAATCGTGTGTCCAAAAAACTTACAAACACACAAGGTTTCGCAACAGGGATTTTCAACAAAAGCGAGCGCGCGCGCTCTTGCGTCGTCGTCGTCGTCGTCGTCGTCGTCGTCGTCGCCGTCCTCCCTCCTCCCGCGTCGTCGTCGTCGTCGCCTACGTCGTCCTCTGTCTTTCTCTGTGTTCGTCGTCGTCCTCTTTGGCGTCGTGATCGTTTCCGTCGTCGTTGTCGCCGTGGTCGTCCTTCCTCCTCCTCCCTCGTCGTCGTCGTCCGTCGTCGGCGTCTCGTCGTCGTCCCTCCTCTTTCGTCGCCGTCGTCGTCATCGTCGTCGTCGTCGTTGTCGTCGTCGTCTTCCCTCCTCCCTCGTCGTTGTCGTCGTCGGCGGCGCCGTCCTTCTTCCTTCTTCGTCGTTCGCGTCGTCGCCGTCCTCCCTCCTCCCTCGTCGTTGTCGTCGTTGTTGTCGTTCTCGTCGTTGTCGCCGTCGTCGTCCTCCCTCCTCCCTCGTCGTCGTCTTCGTTGGCGACGTCGTTGTCGTCGTCGTCGTCGTTGTCTTCATCGTCGTCGTCGGCGTAGTCGGCGTCGGCGTCGTCGTCGTTATCGTCGTCGTCGTCGGCGTCGTCGTCGTCGTCGTCGGTGTCGTCGTCGTCGTCGTCGTCGTCGTCGTCGAAGTCGTTGGAGACGTCGTCGGTGTCGTCGTAGTCGGTGTCGGCGGCGCCGTCGTCGTCGGTGTCGCTGTCGTCGTCGGCGTCGGTGTCGTGGCCAAGTGCCATGTGGCACCTACTGTCACG